ATGCGCTTTTAAAGTTATTATCAAAATCATATATATTAAATCTTTTAGCAGTTGATTTCACTTTGTATTTTGTCAATCGCTATAGCCAATGAGGACATTATATTGCAATATTCTTTTAAATATTGAATTTCAATATCTCTAAATTTTGGAAATTATAATTTTTGACATAATTTAGGAAGTTCGCCTTTAAATTTTAATAAACTACTAAGACTATTAAACATACTATTTCATCTTGTGCAGCAATTGTTTTCCTAAAACTGCTTTGATAAGTTCAGTAGTTTTAGGCCTATTACTAGCATTCTTAAGCTTAGTACATTTGGCTATTGCTGGATGATGAATTTTAGAAATGTTAGGAGAATCCTTAATAGCTTTCTCGACATCTGTTGTGGCAATAAGACTTATGGTATGTCACAGACAACGAATATGGGAATATGAAATGATAATGAATATGATTATAAATTTGATTTATTATATATTATACTTTTAGATGCTTGACAAAATTTGATGACGAGTCTGCAGAACCATTTATAGATTTGTGGCATTCTTTAAATTCTGCAATTTATAGTTATATTTTGAAGAATCATCTGAAGATGAGTATAAACATATTATTCTATTTTCTTCTTCCATTATTTTAAAATAGACAGATATAAAACGATTCAAATAAAATATGGTAGTTCTAATTGTTAGCACATTGCTAAATGATGACCAACGTCATATATCATAAAATATCTAAATTCTGATTAAATTTTTCATTTAAATTTTAAAACAATATCATTTTAAATTTAATACTATTTAAATTAACTAATATAAATTTTTTTTAAAGTATCTGTATCTTTTTGAATACAAAGTTGGTTAAGATACAAATACTTTTAAATAATATGTATCTTAGATACTGGATACAAGATACTTTCCAAAATTTAAAAAAAGATACAAGATTAGATACAAATATCCGCGATACTGCCCAACCCTGAAAAGATAATAATAAAAAAATGAAGAATAAGTTTTAATATGAATTTCAGAGGAAATATACCTCGATGCCTAGTCTAACTTATCTATAAAATTTTATAGAGCTATTTAGGTTAACTTCCTACCCATGGGGCTATAACTGCCTGGAGTAAAATGGGACTTGCTATTTATATACCGATTATATTTGTAATATCGTTCTAGAGAAGAAACCATTGGGTGACATGATATAAATAATTCTTAAACATCGGATGGGCAGATGGGTTGAACAAAATTTTATACAGATCGGGAGTTCTGGCTAAGACCTGCCCATTATAAACCTATAATATATATTTCTTTTTGCTAAAATATTTATGAGAAAGGCAAAATATAAACTTTTCGTTTGTCGGGGAAGGGGGATAATATTGCTATTTAGTAAAAATACGAAGGATTCGATATGATATACTAATTGAATGAATAAATAAGCTTTATGGGCCAAATTCAATATCTACCATCTTACCCAGGGTCATTGGTAAATCAAGCGCTACTTTTACTTGATCCTAGATAGCGCGCAGGGAGTCTTCATCTCCACTTCGCTTGATATCTCTCAGTCCACTGACCCACTAATTGTCATTATAAATTATTTTTGTATATATTTATAAATTATTTACCAAGCGACAAATAATTTTCAATTAGTTTCGATAAAATAATTTTCATTTAGTTCCCGACAAATAAGTTTTTTTGATACTCTCAAACTTCAACTAATATTACACCATTATTTAACAAATGTGGACTGTTTTTTTATAAAAATTGTAAAATAGTGTATAGCTTCCAATAATATAGATATGTGTAGACCTGTGCGCTGATAAAACTATCGGCGGCCGGTGTGAGTTTTAAAATAATAGGCGACTGGCGGCATGCCGCTTATTAGATTCTTTCACATAGATAGCATAAATCGGGGCAAGGAGATAAATTTTTTATAGTAATAATTTTTAAATTGCTAATTTAATTTTTTTAAGAAAAATAAGTCCTTATCGAAAGGCGAATTATATAATTTTGTAATCTTATAGTTGTCACTATATAAAAATAATTTTATTTTTTGCCCGGAAAGCAAAGAATATTTTTAGCAGCATAAAAAATTCGGAATTTTCTCCAAAAATTTATATCATCCACATCCTGTGAATGACGTTTTCCAAGAAGATTAAGGAAAGTCATTTAAACTGGAATCATAATTTGTGTTTGGTGTAGAATATCTATTTGCTTATCTTGTTAAATAAATTGTATTTGATATTTCTTCTTGGTTTTCAATCATAATAATTACTAATCTAATATAATGGTTTATAGGTTTAAGATATTTAATGAATTCATAATAAGCAATTGCTCATTATATATTTTTACATAATTTTTGTTTTTAAAATAACATCCAGATAATTCTTAAAATAAAATTTAAATTAAATAAATTAATATGGTTATAATATTATTTGGATCGAAACAGGATTTAGATAAAATTTTAAATCAAAAAATATATAATCTAATTACTCATATGCGAAACTATACTAAAATATATTCGCCTTAGAGGTTCATTTCCCAAAGTTATAATGCAAAATATCTTTATGTTCAATTTTTCAAACATTGGTAAATGATATTTAAATTTTTATGGCCAGTATAAAATTCTCTAATTAAAAAAAACATCTTTAGACAAATTATTAATTAAGATGAGGATGTAGGTTTATTTTATCTCCAAAAAGATCTTTAAATCGTTTTCAAATAAATAAAACGATTTCTATATTGGCGAAGGTTAGATCATTTTTAGATACTATTGATCTAATACGTAACAATTTAAGATATTCAAAGAAAATTTAAGTCTGGATGAACAAATTATCTTATTAAGTAAACCATTCCATAAATATTTATATGCGAGGAAAGTCAGTAAAATCTGGATCCATTAGCAGTGTTGAGCATGTATCAAGGAACCAAATATGATTACTTCATTAAATATGAGATGAATTGATTATTTCTAAGTGATTATCGTCCTCCACTATGCAACAAAAAATGATGGTGGTGCCTACTTTCTAAATTTTTCTCTTATTCAGAATATTTGTACCATCTATGATTGGAAATGCACCTGAAGAGCAATACCGCCCTGGACAATCAAGATTGCCAATTGATTCAATTCGAGAAGTAGAGAAAAGTAAGTCAATCTTCAAGGTAGTTGCAAAATAAACTCATAGAAGTTTGATATATGTTACGATGTACTCATTTTTACATATAAAATGTTAAAATTAATTCACCAAAAAATGAATTCATTACCTTCCAATGTTTGATTTTTGGAACATTCAAAATATCATATTGGGGAGACCTTGGCTAGTCGGCACAACTTATGTCAAAACCATCATAGCTCCGAAGATAATGATCGTATAAGATCTTGCAAAATGCCAATTGATACATTAAACCCTATAAATATTATATTTCTTAAATTTTAATCATTTTTTCTCCAAAAAAGGTTTAGTAAAAGTGTTTTTGAACCTAGTAGTCCTAAACCCTTGGTTAGTCGTATCATGAGGAAGGGGGGGGGGGGTAATCGAATCAAGTGGTTTATAGACATTCTATGAGACAAAATAAATTTTCTTTAGAATTTTATATAAGCTTTATTTATATAATATTATTTACAATTATAACAAATAAAATAGCAATCTTTTTTGGCATAGGACCCATGAGCAATCTTTACATACTCTGCATTGAACCCGATTTTCAAATTTTATAGTCCTGTTTTCATATAAATATTTTAACAATGTATTTTTTATTCTGCTGTTTTAATAAAAATTGCTTCTTGTGGTGAGGTAAAAATCTCAGTCTCAAATTTTTTTAAAACCTTTTAACAGATAAACCATAAAATGTTTTACTTCATGAAATTAGATTTTCAAATTTTATTTTCCTCCTCATCATCAAATATTTTGTTTATTATCTTGACCTATCTTAGTGCCAGCTATTTTATATTTTTTATAATGTCTTAAAAAATTTATAGTAGGTATACCTAATAAAATAAATTCACTCAAAATTTATCTAATTCTATATTTTAATATATAACAATACTTGGATCTTTTTATCAGGCTAAAATAAATATCCTAAAAAATGTTCACATCTATTTAGTCAATTACAATAGATATATATATCGTATGGGGTTTCGGAATCCGTTGGGATTCGGAATCTCTCAATTTTAAATCATTTACTAAGGGCGATTTTTGGATTTTAAAAATCTGATTTTACAGGAATTGTATTCCAGCATGTGTAGAGTATTTACTCTATATATTTCAGCGATAGGCATATTAGTATTTTTTAATTTATATGAAAAATCCATAAAATTAATATAAATTAGAAGTAGTTCAAAAGTTCATGGCAAAATTGTTTGAAATTTACAGTTTGGGTACTCTACCCATGATAGATTACATTTCCAGTTAAATCGAACTTTAAAATTTTTTAAATCACTCTCGGTAAAGGATTTAAAATCAAGAGATTTCGAATCCCAATACAAACATATATATAAATATTTGTTTGCTAGATATAATTAATTTTAAATAATTGATCTTATTATCAGGCGAATATTTATATATGGTATATGTTCATACCTGATTGATTAAATATAATTATAATTTAAAATTCGGAATCCATGGGGATTCGGAATCTCTTGATTTTAAATCCTTTACAGAGGGCGATTTAAAAAATTAAAATACGATTTAACCGTAATATTCTAGCACGTGTAGAGTATTTACCCTATAAATTTCAGCCAATTTTGCCATGAAAGAACTAATTATAATTTATATTAATTTTTCATATAAATTAAAAAATACTCTACACATGCTAGAATACATTTCCGCACGGATTCCGAATCCCCATACGACATATATATATGAAAAATTAATATAAATTACTAGTAGTTTTAAAGTTCATTGCAAAATTGTTTGAAATTTACAGTTTGGGTAGTCTGCACATGCCGAAATACAATTCTGTAAAATCAGATTTTCACAATCTAAAAATCGCCCTAAAGGATTTAAATCAAGAGATCCCGAATCCCCACGGATTCCATATCATCATCGACAGTACGTTACAATCTTAGAAATGTTTTACAATGGATGATAGAAGTGAATTCTAGCTTACCAATTAATCAAAAAATTTGTAGCTCTTGCCGGAAAAAATTAAAAAAATATTCAACAAATCTGATCTCACCTTTTACTTCTACGATCCCGATCACATTACCTTCTATTTCTAACTTACCTTCTACCTCAACTATTAATGAAACATTTAGCGATTTTGAACATGATCAACCATGCAATAATCCCGACTCTTATACAGATTTTAATACTTCAATTTCAACTTTAAATAAAACTTTGCCATTTTTAGGGGAGACACCTATTAAAAAGAAAAGGTTAAATGAAAAAAAATATCCTGTAAATAAATTTTTGAAAATTCAGGGAAAAATCAAAAAAGTTTTTAAAATAAATCTAGAGGATCAAGCAAAAAAAGATGAAGCCGAAATCATAAATCAACTGAAAGAAAAATTTGCTACAAGTTCTCGCAATGAAAAAATACAAATTTTAACAGTTTTACCAAAATCTTGGACTCTTGATAAAATTGAAAAGGAATTTTCAACCACAAATTTTATGGCCCGGACAGCTAAACAATTAGTTGAAGAAAAGGATGTTTTGTCAAACCCAAATATCATAAAACCAAGTAGAATAATTTCGGATGACATTGCAAATAAAGTAATAGAATTTTATAATTCTGACGAAAACAGCAGACTTATGCCAGGTATGAATAATTTTATATCAATGAAAGTTAATGGAAAAAGGAACCAAGTACAAAAGAGATTAGTTTTGTGTAATATAAAAGAATTATTTACCAATTTTAAAGAAATAAACAGTAATATAAAGATAGGTTTCAGCAAGTTTGCTATCATGAGACCAAATAACTGTATTTTAGCAGGCAGGTCTGGAACGCATACAATGTGCATCTGTACAATTCATCAAAATTTTAAATTAATTATAATTGGGGGTAAATTAAATCAGTTAACTGCAAACCAGCATAACTATCCATTTCCTCCCTTAAAAGATTATAAACATTACATTGCACAAAGTCTATGCAATCCAGCCCAACCTTGCTGTTACTTAAAGAAATGCCAAATGTGTCCCGGCACTTTGGAACTTAAAGAAAGATTACATTTATTGTTTGATAATGCCATAGATTATATAACATTTAAACAATGGTTGGCGGCAGACCATACCACCCTCGAAACGTTAACTAAGTCCGCCAGCGAATTTATGGAGTATTTGATTGAAAAATTAAATATTTTAATTCCTCATGCATTTATCGGAACAATCTTCATTTTTTAAGTCATTAAAATCGAATATGAAGGATGGGGAATATCTAATAATATCCGATTTTGCAGAGAACTACGCTTTTGTAGTTCAAGATCACGCTCAAGGCTTCCATTGGACTAATAATCAGGCAACACTTCATCCATTTATGATTTATTACTGCGAAAGCGGTACCATCAAACATATAAGTTACGTAGTTATATCAGATTGTCTTAAACACAATACTTGTTCCTTTTATTTATTTCAAACAAATTTAATTCAATTCTTGAAAGCAAGATTTGATAAGATTTCAATAATTTATTATTTTTCTGATGGAGCCGTTACCCAGTATAAGAACAAAAAAAACTTTGTAAACCTCTACAACCATTATAATGATTTTGGGATCAAGGCAGAATGGCATTTTTTTGCAACTGCACATGGCAAAACTCCTTGCGATAGTTTAGGGGGAATTACAAAGAGGTTGGCTGCTAGAGCAAGCCTGCAACGTCCTTATGAAAATCATATATTAACTCCTATGGATTTATATAATTATGCGAGAATTAATATCCCGGGTATTAATTACACATTTGTCAGCAACGTTGAATATTTAAGAATGGAAACCAATCTCGAAAATAGATTTTTAACGGCCAAACTAATTCCCGGGACACAAAAATATCATTCATTTATTCCAATGGAAGGAAAAATGAAAGTCAAACGTTATTCCAATTCATTAGATAATTTAATGTATGATATTATTTAATTTAATATGTTTATAACAATATTAATTTCCCATTTGATATTCATGTAATATAAATACTTAGCTAAATAAAGTTATAAATATTTTTACAATTATTTTCTCTCTAAAATAAAATCGCTAAACTTATATGTTAAATATGACATAATGTCTACTAGTGGGCTCACAGCCCGAAACATTTATAAAAAAAATATAATCGGCCCGATCATAAAGAAATTTTCTTTTTATTTGTTTCGTAAATTACTATAGATTTGGTATAATTTAGGATTTAAGCCATACTATTTATATTTAAAGCGTAATAACTATTGGCCCAGTAATGGTCCCAATCTAAAATTTTGTACAAATATTAAGAGGTATAATGTCTATTTGTAAAAAAAATTTGAAAGAAAAAAAAAGCAATTTTTCCGGTTTTCTATTTCCGGTTTTTGGTAATATACTTTTTATTAATAAAATAATTTTTATATCATATTAAAGGGCTATTCTAGAGCTATTTAATAAAATTTAAATCATGCCTTCTTCAGCTTAATTACTTTTTGAGATATTTAAAATTAAATATACTGTATTTTGGAATTTTCGCGTTTCTAAAGATGGCCATATCTCATGAAGTAAGCCGATTTGAAAAGTAAAATTTTACATTTTTATTAGTTAGTGTATATACTACCAACATACAAATTTTTTAAAAAATCGAAGGGGGTAGGGTTGAGAATCGACTTTTTTGGTTGATTTAATATGGAATACAACATATATGAAAATTTTAATTTATAGGACATATATTTAGGTCTGATATTATACTAAAATTGAAATGTGTAGTAATGTAGAAATGTATGTAATAAACTATTTATACATTATGAATTATTATATTCGTCAATTAGATATGGTTATATTTAAATATAATGAGGGAGGTTAACTACCAAACACCTATATCATCTATTATGTGATATCAGGATTAATATATATTGATATGTGTTATATGGATGAATAAACATTGTGTTTGCAATCATTATCCAATTTATTATATATATTTATGATTTAATATAATAATGGGTGAGGTTTACTAACTTAACACTTATATCATCTTTTATAATGTGATATCTGGATTAATATATTTTATATCCTGCCTTTATTTTCTAGGTATTATATGGGTATAAATATTGTGTTTGCAATAATTCTATTTATAAAATTGGTGCAGTCATGGATGTAAATAACCTGTAATATGAATCTATTGGATGTTTTATGAAATAATAGAGAATGATTGGAAATAGTCATGATGTTCACACTGATTATATTGAATGTTGCAGAAGAATGATATATTAACAATATAAATATTAAATTATTGGAAATTATAAAATTATGATTTATTTAAATTCAGGGTAATAATTTTATGTTATGAATATTTGTGATATGAAATTAATTTTGGAAAATTAATGACTCAGTAAAATTGAAACATTATGGGAAATAATATTGTGAAAACATAAATACTAATAATATAGTGACATTTATATGACTTTAGGAAAAAGGTAACAGATAGAAAAACCTGGCTAATTTGGACAATGGGAAAAAGGTTCTGATAAAAGAACCTTTCTAATCGGGCATATGGAAAATGGATACTAATAAAGACCTGGCTAATTTAAACTAAAGATATAAGAACGTTGGGCTCTCAAATCAAGTGACCTATAAACAAACTAACGGGGCTTCCCTGAGCCAGATTTGGGTTAAAAGACTAATGATGACTTCTTGTGCATAGGGATTTGTCCCATGGGCCATCTATGGATGATAGCGATTTCTTGGCCAGTTCTAAGGTAATAGTGACCTCATGGGCCATACAAGGATAATCGCGATCTCTTGGCCAGCTCTAGTGACCTCATGTGCCATACAAGGATAATAGCGATCTCTTGGCCAGCTCTATGATGATGGTACGTCGACCAATCTACAATGGATTCGATAACGATACTCTGTGGGAGATCAAGCATACAATGGCCTTGATAAAGATACTATGGTGGGAGATCAAGCATGCAATGGCCTCGATAACGATACTCCTGTGGGAAATCAAGCATACAATGGAACCAATAAGAATATTTCAGTGGGATATCTGGCGATACTGATATTCCATTGGGAGAACAATCAACAAGGGAAACGATATTTATACTCTAGGTGAGATCAATAAACAAGGGAAACAATATTAATATTCTAGGCGAGATCAATCATACCAAGGCAGCTAATATTGATACTCTTTTGAGATCAAAATTTTAATTGGGGGAAGAAGAGTAGTTGTTAAAAAAGGTAACACCACACGCCAGCGTCTACATGAGCGGGAGGGGTAGTATTTTTTGAGTGGGGTAGGCTGTTTTAATGGGGGTAGGATAAATTTTGGGGGGTTTATCTATTAAATTTTGAGATGAAATAGGACAAAATTTATTGCTGTAAAAACTAATACTTTTATTATAGAATTATTATAATACAATTCATCGGCCAAATCTATATAATGCAAACAATCATACACATTGTTTTCCAAATAAAACTTTCTGCTATCCTTTTAAATGTAATTTAAAAGGTTTAAATATTTCAGCAAGCTCATAATGCCATAATAATTAATTCATTGTAAATAATGAAGGTTTAATTGAATTTATTATCTAAAAAATAAATTCTTTATATACACAAAATATCGATAGTTGGTAGTAGAGATAGATTAATTTAAGTTATCCTTTATAAATTCTCTAAAAAGAGTATCAATATAATTAAAAAGGTGAAAATAATATAATTAAAAAGGTGAAAATAATATAATTAAAAAGGTGAAAATAATAATGGGGAGACACCGCCGCCCAAGGTGGCGAGAATCTTTTAGGGGGTAGGCCAAGTTTTTGAAGTGGGTTTGCATCCAGTGAAAATACTGACATGTAGACGCTGCTACACGGTAAAGATAAATGGAAATCAAAGACAAAGATTATTTAGGAAACTTTAAGTCGAATGGCTCTAGATGTAGGTTTCCTTTCAATTAATGAAGGGGAAATGTAGTAATGTATAAATCTATTGTAATATATTATTTATACATTATGAATTATTTTATTCGTTAATTAGATATGGTTATAATGATTATATATATATATTTATGTAATATATGGAGTTCGCAATTATTCTATTTATAAAAAGTATTATAAAAAATCTAGTGCTGTAAACATTTTTAAAAAAATCGAACGCGTTCGCGTTCAACGTTCATTGACAAAAATCGAACGCGTTCACGTTCACATTCAAATTCAAAAAAAGGAACGCGTTCAAAATTTTATGATAAATTTTTTTTTAAATTTAATTTAATATAAATAAATGCCTTATATTTTTCAACAAAATATATTAGCCATGATAAAAAATAATAGTTTTATTTTGATAATATAATTATAAATACAATATAATAGAGCGATAAAAAAATAAATTTCTAAAAAAATTTTCTTATTAATTTTTAATAATAATTGCTTTTCAAAATTTTCATCTGATATGCATGAACGCTTGTCAGTTAATACAGCGTTAGCTATACTAAAAACTCGCTCAACAAGGGCAGATGAAGGGATTGCGGTGTTATACTTGATAAACAATTCTTTTAAAAGGGGGAATTTATTAAAAACATTTAATGTTTTATCCATTGTTTCAAAAAATTGAGCTATGTTATCATCCCCCAATCTGCCCTCTTCTTCCTCGTCAAAAAAAAAGGGTATCTCGGAATTGATTTTAAAACAGTGAAATATTTTTGATATTTGGGCCATGGTAATTCTAATTCATCTAATATTGAATTTTGATTTTCAGAATCTGATGATGAAATATTTATATCCATGCAAATGCTAATCTATTAAATTAAAATATAAAATATTCAAATTAATAAACTTTAATCTTATCTTCTCTAGCAGTAGCACTATGGTACGTTAGTTGCAATATGAAAAAGGAAAAACAGCTGATTAAAAAATATAAGACTTTTTTGTTAAAAAATTGGATTAAATATTAATTTTTCAAATAAATAAAAATATAAGACTTTTTTGTTAAAAAATGCGGATTAATATTAATTTTTCAAATAAATAAAAATAAAAAGTGTTTTTAAAATTGAACGAACGTAAAATTGAACGCGTTCATCAAAGAAAAGGAACGCGTTCACGTTCAAAGTTCGTCAAAAAAAAAGGAACGCCGTTCATCACCTTTTTTCAAAAAAACGAACTGCGTTCACGAACAAAAAATCACATTGATAAATTTATATAATTATCATTTATATATTAAATTTATAAAATATCACTTTAACCTGTAATAAATGTTACTTTTCTTGATGACATATCATTTTCATACAATTTTATTGTTTCTTCATAATCCTTTATGGTAAAAATTTCCCTATTTAGAATTTTTTACATTTGAATACCATAATAAAATTATCAGATACCTACAGAGGTACTATTTGTACAGCCCGGCCTGTCAAATCTCTGAAAATTATAAAAATTGATTGATTTCGCCGACAAGCCACGATATACCAATGGTAGTAGTATTACTAATATGATTTTAACATATATTTACGTCTTACATATCAATCTGAAACTTTCCTAAATATTAAAATAGTTTTTAAACTCACATATTGTCCATTTTGTTATGTTTAAACTTTATAGCTAAATAATATAAATTATTTTCTCCCCAAATATAAATATAGAATTCTATTTACAACAAAATTTTAATTTATAATTGTTACTGGTTTTAAATAAAATCGGATGTATAAGCCCCTTGCGCCGACTAGCCCTGGTCTCCCCTAGTGAATTATTTTTTTGAAATTTTGATATATAAATGTTTATACTAATGTATTAATAAAGAAAAATAAATTTAAAAAAGTTTATATCTTAATTCTAACGAGTTAACTGAAATAATTTTTGAGCTACTTATCATTTACTATTAAATGCGTTTCTATTTCACTTCTGAAATAATGCAAAATTTAATATAGTATAGGCTTTTTTTGTAAAGATAGAAATTCAACTGATTATTTAAATTTGGAAGGAAGAATTAATATTCCTCTAATAACACCAATTCATAGTTTGAAAATAATGCTTTTCAAAACATTATTTATTAGATTATAGCTCCAGACATGCTTTCGAGCATAAATAATATACTATGCTATCTGATTGAGGCATTTATAATCTTTACATTTGAATGAACTCATGGAATAAGAAAAACTCAGGGTATAGATCAGTGATATCACGATATAGAATATTCGATGTTAGATCTATTTATTTAATTTAACATTTTCCTGATGGCATACAATTCCAACAGTGATGTTAACCAATCATTAAAGTAAAAATGTATAAAATATAAAAATTATTTTAAAAAAATTTAACCACGGCGGGGCGTAATCAAAAATATCAGCGGCCGGCGCACAGGTCTAGTGTTATTATACTTGATACATTTTCAAATTTTCCCCTACTAAGCATTTAGATTTTTTTTAAATATATTTTTGTCCAGGACACTTTTGACCTATTACTCTTTATCATGAGTATAGTTGGGCAATGGCTAAATCTACAGACGCGTCCTGAAGTAAACCCGTTAATTTTAAGACGTTTTAATTTTATATTAGTTTCTTTCAAATTTGAACTGCTATATTTGTAAGAAAAACCCCAAAGTAATAGTTTTCTGCTAAAAACTCGGTTTAACCAATTTCGCTGGCTAAAAATTGGCTTAAATGATTAAAAAACAGTAATTACCCCAAATATAGTCACGAGTTATAAAAATTAAAAAAAATTCATAGTATATATTTATTATGCTTTATAAGATTATTTGACAATATGCCAAATTTTTAAATTGAAATCATTTTTGAATATTCATTTTTAATAGATTAGTAAACAAACATAGTGACAGTGACTTGCGTGATATATAATTAAAATATAAATTAATAAAATCTCTAGGTAACAATTGTGAAATTTATAATGCCAGACAACAACTTATGATTCCTCGAATTTATGCGTCAATTATTAAATATTGAAAATCTACGAATCTATTTATCATTTTTAATATATAACCTTTATCATACCATTGTATTATCGATCCATGGTTATTCTTAAATACATTAATAAACCATTCTAATAAATGAGCAATAATTTTATTAATATTCATATAAATGACTTCATTTTTAAAATGACCAATTTATTTTGAAACTAATTTCCTGAGGCGCTAGATCTTGTGAAAATTTCTTATCCATCACAAGTTAGGGTCTCAGGGAATTAGGCTCAATGACTATTTAATTGATAAAAAAACCATCAATTTTTTTTATTTGAACATCTACATCATACAATCTTGAAAAAGTCTAGACGGCAATGTTAATATTACTAACTTGTGTTACTCGGGGTTATAAAACAAACGATTATAATAAGATACAAAATTTGGGTACGTTTACCTCATCATTAAAATAAAAAATTATTAAAAAATGATTTATTCAAAAATGGTTGCTTATCTAAACTAAAATAATATTATATAAATATTATGTATTTACAAAATACATTATATAAAATAAACCCTTTTTGAGAAATTTTTTTTGGGAAAAATATAAATAGCAGAAGTGATAATATCTCCGATCATAAATCAACAGGATGAAGATTTTATAAACACAAGGTAAGCTAGCAAGCTGTAAAGTTTCTCCTATAATTGATGTAACTCATAACTATACAACTCACTACCTCACCTTGTAATTATAAATAACAGTTAATAACAAATATTTCGTTTGGCATTTCGCGCTCACCCTTGGATCCGAACCACTGAAATATTTTTGTCTTACAAAAGTTCAGATCTACGGGTAAGTGCTTTAAAATGTGACGGAGTAGTATTAATGATTCCTTATATACATAATGGCTAATTCTTTACATACTTTTGGACCAAGCATAATTGAATAATGTGAATGAGTGATTAGAACGAAATACTAAAAACCGAATTGATCCAGAATTTTCCAAAAATATTTTTTTATATTTACGCTACTGAAATCAAAAAGAAAAATTGCTAATATACATTTAACTTTGAGGATATATGGTAGAATTTATATGATCATATCTATAACTGATTAATTATAATTTTAACAAATTAAATTTTTTTTTGTATATTTTAAAAAACATCAAAATTTATTTATTTTTTCCATTATTATGTTTTTTTATTTAAATATAAAATTAAAAAAAATAAATTAAGATTGACATTAAAAGCAACCAATCAACAATTGACGCCTTAATTTAATTATTAATAAATAAAAAAATATTATAAATTTAATTTCTTACAAATCTTAACCAATAAAATATACGAAACAAATTTTAAAAAGATACTGTTATTGCCCAAATATCCTAAAAAACTTTTCTTTAAAGACAATACATCCATTTTTATTTATAATTTTTAGGAACCTTATTTTAGTTTAAATAAAAAGATGAAAATTTATATATATCGATAATAAATAATTCTTTATTTTTGGTAATTTTTTGGAGGGAGAAAAAAACAACATAAAATATTATATTTTCGTTTTTTTTAATACTTTATATTATTTATTATTTGAAAATTGAAATTAAAGGAGAAACAAAAAAAATCTATAAAGTACATATTGACCCAGACGATATAAAGTCATAGAACTTATGAACCTCTAAAAAAAGATTGTTTTTTTTCAAATTTAATTATAAAAATTTATTGTAATATACAAAATACAATACATGCAAAAGCTAAAATATTTATTATATTTCTTCATCATTTGGAGTTGGATGATTGTACCGCAAAAATAAGAGGAAAATTGCAAAGGTTTCAAGATTTTGGCTCAATAAATATTTCATAAAAAATTATTATATAAAACATAAGGTACTGATAAAATAGAAGAATTAAGATTTGGGGAAGAATACAAAAAGAAAGACATTGTTGTGGTGAATCAGAATTTTATTTATTTTAAAATAACAAATATGGATAATATATTTTTTTGTTAATATCAAATCAGGTGATACAAGATGTTTTTCTCAAAAAGTTTGGGTTTGACGCAGGGAATTTAATTGGAGGAATGAATGTATGCTTTATATAGTATAGATTTAGATTAAAAAGATAAATGTTTTAAAATCTTGTTGGGTGAAAAAATAGTTCATCAAAATTGGGAGATAGACGTCTAGACACATCACCATTTATATTGATATAAAATATTGTTAATTTATAATTTTTTTAAATTGAAATTATTTTATTTTCTATGATTGAAATATAAATTTTATATATTGGTGACACCAAAAAGTGTAGACATGTATTTAAATTATTTTAAATAACCGCATTTAGTTTTTTCAACTTTCATCAAGAATGGATTAATTTAAGAAGATATATTAGTCACATAGATAATTTAATACTCAGTTGCCTCCTACTAGATGAAGTATTTTATTAAAAGGTAAGTCATCTTTCTTCCATAACAAAAATTTTAGCATGGAAATTGATTTTGTGTTTTAGTATAAAAAAAAGGTAACGTGATCTATAAAAATTTCAGAACCATCTTTATTTCTATTAGTAGTTACTCTCTAAATTATAATGATAAAAGTACGTCACATTTTAAGAAGATAAGATATCTTATCGGACATTATTTAGCGGGAAATAGATTGAAAAGCAAAAAATGCATTTGTTCCGGGTCCCTGTTTATAAATTATTATTTTTTACAAAGTATTAAAAACCCTAATTACTAAAAAAATTATTTCTATTTAATAGTTATTGGTATCTAATCCTCCTAAATAGACTATGATTGTTGGTAATGGGCTAAATAATCTGTGAAGCATGGGTTAATTTTTAGGGCATTTTTTTAAAACATTTCTTTTAGAATAATATATGCCAGCTAGAGTTCGGTAAAAATTTCTATCAGGGTTTTCTACCTGACCCGGTAAATATATAATTGTTCATAGCTCATAATAATTTATGAAGGAAAACGATATAAATTTGCCTAATTATCCAATTTAAAAACATTATCAAAAGAAAGCTAGTTTAATAAGCTAAGACTAGAATAAAAAGATATAATGAAAAGGTTATAAAATGGTCTATATTGGTAGGAGGAATTACTATGATCAAAGAAAAATTAAGATTATCTAATTAATTAAGCTATCCGCATGAGTCAGACACATCCTTAAGTCGAAACAAAAACTATGAAACATTTATAAGAATCAAAAATAGAAGATGAATTATCCAAATTAAAAAGGGTTTAAAATCTCCTCTGAATTAAATAATTAAAAGAATGATATAAAAAATGTAAACTAAATTTAATTCATAGTTTATAACTGTACAGTCCAAACCAAGTCTGAGCCTAGAGGTCACTAGCAGGTTTTTGCTAGCTCGCCTTGGGTAGGCGGGCTAAAAATTTAAAAAATGTTTTAAAATAAAATATGCTTCTTTTGTAAATGGGGTTAGGTAAGAATCTAGGTGAAATTTTTAAAGACTAAAGCTAGGACGGGATTGGTTTAACAAATTCCAGTATATAAATTATTCGTAAGAAACCCAAACTATCGACCAAATAGAATTTATTTTGTTAATAAGTTTTTTCAGTAGCCATTATTTTTAACATCAAAAATTTTACTGGTAAAATATTTGGAAAATGCTAATATTTTTCCCTTTTGACTAAAATTCATGAACTCAGCCTGGACTCGGGAAAAATGGATTCGATTAGATAAACCTAAATATTTTCGTTTCTTCTAGGTTCTGGCAAAAGAGTTTCAAAACTGGGTTCGGAGGTCCGAGAAGTATGAATATACTAACATTTTTAAACACATGAGGGTGGGTTTTAATAGAATGCAAAATTGTTGGTTAACTTACCCATTATAGACCTCCACATTAGCATATTATTTATACCTATTTTAGGCTGACCTAAACAAAAATATATTTACATTCTTTGCACCCTCTTTTAATCGTTTATTAATTTTACAAAATTTTGATTAGTATTTTTGTCTGATGATTATTCACGACACTTCTGTCAAATTATTTTTTTTACTGCCGTTCCAAATTTATTTTACGCTAAACTCCCTAATCAGCTTTTTGGAAAAATAACCATTTTAATACATTGGGAATATAATCTAAAATGTGTTTGAAATAATGCAACGCATCCATAGCATTTTTTGGGACTGTATCAACCATAGTTTATCTTTTAATCATAGTTAATAAGGCATCATAAGATATTTTAACATCTCCATGATAAAAATCTAACATATA